CCTTTTTGTAAAATCTTTAAAATATCACCCAAGGTCATGTTTAGAACTTGAATTACTATTTCTTTGGGAATGCAATTTAATATTTGTACTTTGATGCCTTAATATTTGAATGTTATTGCCTTCATAATGTAGTTTTTAGTTTACTTTCTTTAAAATTCTGGTATTAGGAAACAGGATCAAAGTAGATGAAATATACTGCGTTTCCCTGAAAATAAGACAGGGTCTTATATTTATTTTTCCTCAAGAAGACACCCTAGGGCTTATTTTCAGGGGATGTGTTATTTTTTTAAAGCATGATACAACAATCTACATTCATTCAAATATAATTAAGTCATCTTCTTCTGGAACATCATCATAACTCTCCAAATCCCGAATTCCATCCTGAATTTCTTGCAACTCTATTTCCTTTAGAACTATTGGCCCCAATCTCTCATGTTGAGCAATAGAGCTCTCATGGGGCAGATGAGAAGAGCTGCTTGTCTTCTTTACCACTCTACAATGAAAAGCATGGGTCGTGCAGATGCGCTGCGTAGCCACGCCCATCACTAGGTCTTATTTTCACGATAGGGCATATGTTGTGCAAATGCTTAGAATTCCTGCTAGGGCTTATTTTATGGGTAGGTCTTATTTTCGGGGAAACATGGTATTGACAATATTAATTTTAATTTAAATCTATTTTCTAGGGGAAAAGGTAGGTAATATGTTCATCTTTTATTTCTAATTCTCATCTTTTATAATAGACCCTAAATAAATATTTGTAAATTGAGGATAATACTTGAATCAGTATCTTTTTAGACAAATTGTATAGCTGTGGCATAATGAAACATGCAGCATTGCTAGCTCATTTTATTGCAGATTTCTTCCATACTTGATGCCAGGGTCAAACCTTGACTGCAAAAAAATGAGCTGGCTGTGAAATGAGGATCCAGCAATCATCTCTCCATTATGCTAGCCAGAATGCATTTCAGAACTCACATTACACCATTCAGGAAATGTATGTTTGCTGATAAGATTTTAAAGAAAGTCACACTTTGTGTCACTCTGGCCCAGTGCTTCAGTCATGCCTGGAGCTCTTCGTCATTATAGGCCTATTTTTCCCCAAGTGTCACTTTCCCTCTTGTGATTTATTTAAAGCTGTATTTTTAGCTTCTTAAGCTTCCTGTTTTATCAGGTTCTTGTTTTGTATGTTGAATAGGATGTTGAATTTTGGGGAGGAAGATGGGGATGGAGTAGGGTCTGTATCCCTTTTCAGTTGTTCCCTTAATTTGTAGTGCTGTTTCTCATCTTCCCATAATTTGTTCCATTCATAAACTCTAATTTTATTCATTCACTCAGCATGTATATTGTTCCTCTGCTAAATGTCAAGTGATGTGTTGGACATGTGGATAAAGAGGTGAATTACTGTGCCTGGCACAGTGTCTGGCATATTGACCAGGAGAGGAGAGTAGTAAAATGTCTCCCGAGGAGAGTAGTAAAATGTCTCCCGAAGAGGCTGGCTCGGGTCCCCTTCTGTTGCACAGCTGAAACAGTTAGCTCTAATTCCACACTGAATTCTCAGCCTTCCATATGACTCATTTGGCACCACATCATCATGAGTCACACTAGCTCCTATAACAAATAAGCCTTCCAGTTTCAGTGGCTTAGCACTCTATGCATTCATGTTTCGCTCACTGAACAGCACAATGTGGTTCCAAGTAAGTGGGCCTTGCTACACATGATCATTTAAGAACTCAGGCTGAGGGAAGCTCAGCCATCTTCTACGGTCACCTCTCGATGTCAATGTCCAGATTGCAGGAGAAAGAACATGAAGGATTCCATGGAAGAGATTTTTATGGACTAGAGCCTGGAAGTTACAAATACCACCTCCCTTTCTTTCATTGTCTGGGATTCAGACACATGACCTCCCCTAAGTGCAACAGAGAGCTAAGAAATGCAAGCAGTGGGGTCCCAAATGAATGCCTGGCAAAGCTGGATTGAAGGATGATGATGAATTTCTCACTTGGCATCACAGAGTGTGTACCTTGTATAACTCTGATTTTTTTCTACCAGTGTAGATAGGAATGACTTGTCTTCCTTTAGTAATTGCTTCTGTTTCAGAAATCCTTAGGGAATTGAAATGGAGGGAAACATTTTATTTTTCTGATACAGTGAACATACTAAAAGAATAAGAAAACCAGATACTTGAAGGTTTCTGTTCTTAACCTATTAGAAATACTTCCTATTAGAAGATACTGCTCTTCTCTTTTGTAGTATTGTTCTCCCCACCTGGCAAATTACTTTTGTGAAATTCTTCCTGTTTCAAATCAAATCCTCTGAGCTACTTCCTTCCCTTCCTGTGTCCCCAGGCACAGTTAGCAGTTGCATCCTCAGTGTTCTGCCAGAACTTGAACATACCTATGTTAGGTTCATTCATTCATCTGTTCACTCATCCACATTCTTATAATGGAAAGAAACAGAGAAAGGAGATTAAGAAAGGAAGGGAAGGGGAAGGGACCGGGAAAGGGGAGGGAAAGGAGGGGAGTGGGGAAAGGCAAAGAAAGGGGTGAAGGAAAGGGAAAATGAACTATGATAGAATGACACACTGAGGACATAGGGAAAAGGCACTTAGCTCTACTTTGGAATGAGGGAGAAGTGAGGGATACTTCTTTTAGAGGAAGGAAGTTCGGTCAGAGTTTCTTTGATTACTCATGGATACTTTCCCTTCCTGAGACAATGAGCTTTTTAAGGAAAAGAACCATGTTTTCCAGCTCCCAGTATGATACCAAATTTATACTAGACATTCAGTAAGTTGAATTGACTGAATGAAGATATAAGTGAATGCATTCATAAATTTTATTTACTACATACACTTTCATACATTATCTCATGCAGTGCTTACCATAGGTTTATAATAGGACAGATATTGTTATTCCTGGTGTCTAAATAACGAGCCTAACTTCAGAGAGATTTGGTGTTTTGCTGATGTCTCATAATTAACAGAAGAGATCTCAGGTGTTCTGTACCTAGTCTTTTGCATTTTCCATTCTTGGAAACAAACATTTAATTTAAGTATCAACATAGTGCTTTGAAATTTGTAGCATGTGCTTTCGTGATGAAACATCAAAGCACTTGAATCTCTTTGAGTGGTGAAGGCTATTCATTTATATTGAGTCAAGCAAGAATGTTGTTTTTAACAGAAACAAAAAGATGTCTCATCTACCATGTTTTATAGTGCCTCATCTTTCTGCCACCACAGCGTTTTGTACCCAGTAGGTGCTCTATAAATATTTCTTAACTAATTGACAGTGATTTAAAATGTGTAAATCAGATTCACCTAAATTGGACATGCTTCCTGTTAGAAGCTGTCAAGCTTTTATCTTTGTAATCATTGTGTCATAGGGAACAAACTTTGCCTGTGGTATATTCTAATTTGTGAAATTTTTAACATGCTTGCTTTGTTTCTGGTTTTCTTTGGCTGCTGCTTCCTCATTCTTATAGCACTTACCCCTGACACTGTCTATAGAAGGCTGAGGCTGTCTGGATGTTTTCACCATGGCAGGTGGAGACATTTTATCATGGAGCTGCATTAGTGTCTTTTGTAGCTCTAAAAATCTCAAACTTTGGCATTAGAGTTTATGATGGACAGCTTCCCTCTCTGACTTATCCATATTTTGTGCCGTAAAGGTATCAGTGTTCTCTACAGAAATATCATGACCAATTTAATAAATTGGTGCCTTCTTTATTAAAGTTGCAGTTGCCTAAGAATGAAGGCATCACTTATAGAAGTTTAAAAATTTGCATTTCCACATGGATATTCTGCTTCACTTCAAACTTACATGTCTGAAACCAGACTCATTTTGTACCTTGTACTTCTCCCCACGCTCCAACTATTGCCGGCTGCCGTCCATCTCATTCAGTGGCAGACTGAGACCACAAAGACATCGTGATTACTTTCTCCTTCCATTTATACTGCTCATCTAATTCAGTTCATGTTATGTCACATTGACCTCCTAGATGTCTCTGATATCATGGGATTCAAGACCACGTTTTAAAGCCAAGTGTTGAGTGCATTTCCTAATCTTCTAGCTCTAAATTATGAGAAAGGGGCTGAAAGCCCTCTCAGAGTTTACTGGCAAATCAGCAAGAGGATTTGGGTTTAAAAAAATAGATAAAATTTTAAGGAGGTTTTGATGTTAGAAGACAATTGTCTTCAGTCTACTTTAGTAAGAATTTATTTTGTCATCTCTGGAAACACTTGCTTTTTCCAAAACTCTGTAACTGGGAGACAGAAGAGACTCCATTGGGAATTTTTCAGAGTGTGGGGCACATAAAAGGTGGTTGGTAAATGTATAATGGATGAGGTATGGACAAATGAACACAAATAGATGGTAATGGTGAAAGGATGGTGAACTCTGCTTCTGTGTTCTGTTTTTGCTTCAGAGGAATATGTTTTTGTTTTATTTTTCTAAGAGCAAGATGAATGCCAAGTATTAGACAGACTCACCTTTCATATTCATCATTATTAGAGAAATACCATCAGTGTCTCAGCGTACTACCTAATGGCATTTTAATCTGTAGGAAATCCAAAAGAGTGCCTTAGAAAGTGCCTGTAATTAAAGACTCAGTGGTGTCAATTATGTGTTTAAAAAGAAGTGGATGTCAGGGGTGTTTGGCTTTTAATCTGCTATTTTGTAATAATAATAATGTACCAGAATTCTGGAAAGGTTCTTAAAATATTTCTTATGCACTAATTGTCTTATTGGTAATATGTCATCAACAAAATCATGTTAGCAACACTTAATAAATGTGACATAACATTTATTCCGAACTTTCTCCTTCAACCATAGAAAAATAGAGTAGCAAAATATTAGGTCGTAAAGTTTCAAGTACTAAGCAATGAAAGACATTGAATTTTTCTTGTTAATGATTCCGGTGGCTTGTTTTTGCAAGTAATTTTGTTCCACCACGTACTAAAGAGGTGAAAGATATAGAGCTACTTATTTTTTGTTTCTGTTTTTCAGGGGAAGATGGTGAAAGGAATGGGTGGAGCTATGGATTTAGTGTCCAGTGCCAAAACCAAAGTGGTGGTCACCATGGAACATTCGGCAAAGGTAAGATATTCTGTTCCCTGGGTGCTGCTTTTTGAAATTTACGATATGTAGAAACTCAATACACCAGGTCACCTGACTGTGGTTTTTATTGTTTTCTCTGGCTCATTCAGGTGATAGCATTTATGTGTAAGAAAGATGATAAATAAAGGCAGTTATTTATTATTCTTCGGCTAAATGGTTGTTTAACTTTGAGTGAAGCCAAACATCAGGGTGTTCTTCAAATATTTGCCCTGCATACCTATTAAAAGTAAAAGCTTTAATGTCTCCAAAGGCAGTGAAAAGATGTTGGGACAGATGTATTGATTCAGGTTTTAAGATGATTGTAGTGGTTGTTATCTGAGTAAAATGAAAAGCACAATAGAATGTGGGTTTTAACAATAGTTATTTTGAAATGGATAATATGGCCTTTCACCGGAGCTGTGAGGTGCCATTTCCAGAAGGTGTTAGAAAATGGTGGACTTAATGATAGCAAATGTCCTTATTCTGAAAAGTATTATATTTTTGTTTTGATAAATCATCAAATTATTGAGTGCTAGGATTTGGCAGTGACCAAAATTGGACCAAAATCACTGATTTCATGAAACTTACATTCAGTCTTCCTCCTTCTTCATCCTATGGTGATAATAGCTACCATTTGGAGGCTTATCCCATTTGCTAACAGCATACTAAGCATGCTATATGTGTTTGTGTGTACATGTCCATGAGCTTGATATATAAGTAGGTTTTACATGTCCAGAAACAGAGCTTCCCAGAGATCAAGTAGCCTGACCTCTGAAGACACTTAACTAGTGGAACTGAGATTAGACCTAGATGTGTCTGGCTCTGAGGCCCTGTCATCTCACCACAGAGCTAGCAGTGTAACTTTCTTTCTTCTCCCGCCTCCTGCCCCAGTTTAAGGTATTTTATTATAGCAGCACAAACAGACTAAGCCAAATAACCAGTTCAGGGAATCTTGTACTTGTTAAGTTTGACTCTTTCTTTTTTTTTTTCTTTTTTCTTTCAAAATGTTATGGGAGTACAAATCTTTTTAGTTATGTGGATCTCTTTTATAATACTTAAGTTACGGTTATAAGTGTAAGAGTGTCTGCAGAGCAAACAATCTACAGAGAAAATATTCACAAGTTATACAAATGATAAAGGACTAATACCAAGAATCTACAAAGAACTTGAGCAAATCAGCAAGAAAAAAAAAATCAAACAACCCCATTAAAAACTAGGCAAAAGACATGAACAAAAGCTTGTCAAAAGAAGATAGACAAGGGGCCCATAAACATAAAAAATGCTCAATGTGGCTAATCATCAGGGAAATGCAGATCAAGATTACAATGAGATATCACCTTACTCAAGTCAGAATGGCTTTTATTAACTTTCTTCCTTGTACCAGACTCAATGTCTGAACCAAATGAGCTTAATTATTTTCCTGACCTGAATCCATTGGCTTCTGCTAATTTGAAAAGTTGATACTGAATGGTAAGTATTCTTTATCTTTTATGCTCTTTGTGTATTCTTTTTTATTCTTTGATCTGCGTAGGCTCACTTTGAGAGTTGCTGATCTGAGTGGAAGTAGTAGTTCATTTGCTCTGTTTTTATTTACTGGCACCGCATTATGTAAGAGCATGGAACTGGAAGATTTGCACCTCACCTGCTTCCCCTGGGGGAGTTCTGTCACAGAGAGATGTGTGCCACAAAATGATTTTGTTGTAAAAACAGCAATCCGAGTTATCATAATAAACAGTGTGAAGTAAGCAGTGGTGCATAAATATGGAACAATAGAAATGGAACCAGCCAGGTAAAACTTCAGAGAAATGCCTTGCAAAAGCATCCAAAATACTTCATTTCAGAGGCAAGAGGATGCCAAGCATACAAATCAAATCCAAGTCTTTTCTGGAACATACTGTATTTGGAGAAAACTCTTTCCAACTTTCCTTTTGTTATTAACTGTACTGTTGATACATAGGCACCGAAGTCTCACTTATTTTAGGTTATTTTTATGCATTTGTTTTCAAAACATTAGGGCTATATTTAGCCAATTCTCTCTCTCTTCTTTTTTTTTTTTTTTTCTGAAGTCTTTTCTTTCTCCTCAGCTGGAATTTCTAATAGAGGGAAATAAATGGTGCCTCAAACTTTAGACTAGAAATCCCTTATTAAAGCTTTCCACAGAGGCAAGATCATGTTTTTACCTTTCCTTTTCTCTTCTCTCAGTGGGGAAATTTTGAGTTCTAGACCAGAATTAGAGTTAGGTATTTTTTCTCTAGATACTTTCATTTGAACAAACCAACAAAAAAAGTACTTGTGATTAAAACAATAATTTGTTCATACTTAATAGTTATCCTTAGGAAATCAATAGTTTCTCTTCTCCTCACTATCACGTTTTACCTATGGTCCTAGAATGTGCGGTTGCTAATCTGTATTGTTCACTTCGACTCATTGTTCTGGACTAGCTCAAGGGAACATGGAGGCCTCACCACTTTTGCTCTGCATCTTTTGCTCTGGTGGAAGGTTGGTAGGGGCTGAGAAAGAGGGTGGAGAGGAGAGGTTTTTCACTGCTGGTAACCTCTCCAGTTAATGATCTGCTCTTTTAGACATGCCAGGTAACTTCTGCTGCCTTATGATTAAGTGAACAGCCTAGAGAACTAATCCCTAGAGTTTTATAAGACCTGAGAGTGAAAAGTTTACGATGAAGGATTAAAACCCAAGAAAAGAAATATAATTTTGTATTCTTGTGCTGCTACTTTTTTCCTCATAAGTAGGTGGAACAGTTAACCAGTTTTCAGTGGGGCCCTTTTATTCTTTTTCCTCATCTGTAGGATTACAGATTTAGGTTGTTTACAAATGTAGCATTGCCTGACCTTTAAAAACATGCTTTTTTGTTTTTTTAATCAAACAAAGGAAACTCTTTCCTTGCAAGCCTTTGCAGCCAGCCAGTACTTTTAGTTCATGTGCTAGCAGCTTCTGGAACCTGAAACCTGTTTGTTTACTATTAATGCTCTGGAGTTAACCCCTGTCTTCCCACTACTTCTGGGATGTATGGCAGGCACAGGAGTCAGACTGGCATTGTAACATGATATACATTTAAGCTTAGCAATCAGGGTTTGAGGCAAAATTATGAAATAGGCAAAGTTTTTTTGATATCCAGCCACGTTCCTTGTTGAACTTCCTTCTCATTGTTTGGCATGTCCTATCTTCTGCCCTCTAAAAATGGGAAGAGAAGGAAGGAAAGGAGGAAAGTTTGAGTCCTTACCAGGTGGAGTGCTGTGCTTGGCGTCATATGTGCTTATCTCATCAGCTTCTCAGTGACCCTCTGAAGTAAGATTGGGGCATAGGCAGGCAAGAAGCTTTTCAAGGGAAGTGGCAGAGCTGGGAGGGTGATTCAGTTTGGTCCAGCCTGTGTGCATCCTACTACACCATGTTGCATCCTCACAAAGCTCCCTCTGCACCAGCATTCCACTGACATTTCCCTTTTCTGGAAGCTTCAGGTTTCAGAATTACCCCTTTCTCTCTCATTCATTTTTCCTCATCAAAACTCTTCTTGCTTCTGTGATGCAGATATCAACAATGTGCTTAAAAGAAAACAATCTGAGAATCTAATTGTATCCCTTGGTACCCATCTCCCTTTTTTCATTTTGTATTAGGGTCCTCCAGGTTACATCCAGGCACACAGCAACTCAATGCCAGACGACATTTCCCAGCATCCCTTGTGCATAGATCGATGCCACCAAGTTTGGGTCAATGGGATTTGAGCATTATGTGATGTGTATAATTTCTGAGTCATGTCCTTAAAGATAAACCCAATAACATTAGACTTCCTATCTTCCTCTTCTGTCCATCTGATAAAGATTTTAACTTCAGCAACAGCCTTGCACCCAAAGTTGTAAACCCTATGCTGAGAATTGCAGAGCTGTTCCACCCACTTGCATTCACAGATGCCCATCCCCTCCTTTATGGGGCTGCCAGGACCCCTCATAACTCCATTCTTGGCCCTCTGCTCTGCAGCTTTCTTGGCCATCGAAATTTTTGGCACCAACTATTTTTCACTTAGTGCCTTCAGAATCCTTTTTTTCTCCTCACTAGAATTTTCTGATGAGCTCTAGAACTGCATCTCTAACTCCTTTTAGACAGCTCCACCTGGTCACCTCAGCTGCAGCACATTCACAACTAAAACAATCATCACTTCCCCTAAGTATGTTATTCTTCCTGTTTGGCCCAACTAGAGAAGTGATGGTTTTCCAGCCCTCATCTGGCAATACATCCATGGTGCCTTTCTGCCCCTACCCCCACCTACACCAGGCTCTATGAATACTGCAGCCATGGCACTCCTGCAGTCTGCTCTCGCCTGTGTATCTCTACTTCATCCCTATTTGAGTCCTTGTTACGTCTGCATAGCTTGCTGTTGCAGCATCCCGAAGGTTCCCTGACTGCTGGGCTGACCCCACTTCCTAGTAATCAAGCACAGCACTGCCAGACTGACCAGTCTAAAACAGAAGCTGGATGGAGATGTTGCTGTTGAGAATCCTTCAATGCAGTCAGCACTGCTTGGTTCTCCTTGGCCCACCTGCCTTTGTGATGGGTTTCCCAGCAGCCCACCTCATCCTTGCTTCCAGGACTCTAGTTCTGCTAGGATCTCCACAAACACATCATGTTGTTTCCTGTTCTTAGGTGTTTCCATATTTTGTTCTCTCTCCCTTCTTATCTGGCTCACTACTACCTCCACAAAAGCATAGATAAATGAGGCAACGATTTATGAATTTGCTGGTTTAGTGCCTTCTGTCCTCTAGATGTTATGAATTACCAAAGAAATATTCTTAGAATATTTCTTTTTTCTGAAATCTAGTAGAATTATCTTATGTGAATGTGTTAATTTACCTGTTTATGCAGGCATCAGATATTTACTGAGGACCTACTATGTGTGAGGCACTATCACGATAGGGTCTGAGGAAATAAAAAGGGAGAGATGTGGTCCTTCCTTCATGCAGCTGAGAGTTTCATGGGAGGAGAGTCAT